CTTCCTTTCTTCCTTTCTTCCTTTCTTCCTTTCTTCCTTTCTTCCTTTCTTCCTTTCTTCCTTTCTTCCTTTCTTCCTTTCTTCCTTTCTTCCTTTCTTCCTTTCTTCCTTTCTTCCTTCCTTCCTTCCTTCCTTCCTTCCTTCCTTCCTTCCTTCCTTCTCCTATCTCTTGCTAGCCCTCCCTCCCTTCAATCCTTCTTTCCTATTGCTAGCTCTTCCTTCCTTCCTTCCTTCCTTCCTTCCTTCCTTCCATCCATCCATCCTTCATTCTTCTTTCCTATCTCTTGCTAGCCCTTCCTTCCTTCCTTCCTTCCTTCCTTCCTTCCTTCCATCCATCCTTCATTCTTCTTTCCTATCTCTTTCTAGCTCTTCCTTCCTTCCTTCCTTCATTATTCTTTCCTACCTCTTGCTAGCTCTCCCTTCCTTCCTTCCTTCCTTCCTTCCTTCCTTCCTTCCTTCCACCCATCCATCCATCCTTTATTCTTCTTTCCTTCTCTCTCTCTTCCTTCCTTCTTTCCTTCCTATTCCTTCCTTCCTTCCTTCTTCCTTCCTCCCTCCCTCCCTCCCTCCTCCTTCCTTCCCTTCCTTCCTTCCTTCCTTCCTTCTTCCTTCCTTCTCTTCTTTCCTTCTCTTGCTCTCTTCCTTCCTTCCTTCTTCTTCCTCCTCTTTTCTCTTCCTTCCTTCCTTCCTTCCTTCCTTCCTTCGTCTAGCTTCCTCCTTCCTTCCTTCCTTCCTTCCTTCCTTCCTTCCTTCCTATCTCCTTCCTATCTCTTCCTTCCTTCCTTCCTTCCTTCCTTCCTTCCTTCCTTCCCTTCCTCCTTCCTTCTTTCTTTCCTTCCTTCCTTCCTTCCTTCCTTCCTTCCTTCCTTCCTTCCTTCCTTCTTCTTCCTTCCTTCCTTCCTTCCTTCCTTCCTTCCTTCCTTCCTTCCATCTCTCCTTCCTCCCTCCCTCCCTTCCTTCCTCTCTTGCTAGCTCTTCCTTCCTTCCTTTGTTCCCCTATTCCCATCCAGTGTATCTCCTTCCTCTCCCTCACTCATTGACCCTTCATCTACAGAGAATCAGTCCTCATCTAGGTGCCATAAGTATATCCCGGATCCTTTTTCTTTGTTTTCCTCTCTGCTCACGAGTATCCCTTTTCTCCCCTTCTGGCGCCCATACTACTGCTTGCAACATTACTTGTGGGGGGGGGGGGGGGGGGGGGGGGGGGAGGAGGAGGTTTTGTGGACCATATTTTGTTCTTGGGGGGTGGGGGTGGAAGAAGAGAGGGAGGAAAGGTTTTTTGGAAAGTAGGTAGAGAAGTTTTGTTTTTTTTGTGGTTTTGTTGTTGGTGGGGGGGGGGGGGGGGTGTACCCCTTTCTCCCCTTCTGGCGCCCATACTACTGCTTGCAACATTACTTACAGGCTCTACTACAACACTAGGAGAGCCAGGTTCGAATCCCTGGCCACTTAGGGGTAGTCCCACTCTCTCAGGGGAAGGCCACCTTGGGAAAGATCTAGCCAGGATCAGTTCACCTTTGGGCTGCCGCAAGTCAGACGTGAAGTACGCCGCCGCAAAAATAACATTGTATACTCTCCAACCCGCTCCATATATCCGGCAAGTGGGATCCATAAAGCATCGCCGCAGCCTTGGCAAGGGCACAAATCTTCTTCCAGGTGCAGCTGGAGTTGCTCGCCTCCGATGTCTCGCCATCCTCCTTGGCATCGGCGTCAATATTTCCCCTCCACTTTGCCATAACTCCTTCTCCCTCCATTTATCTCCTCCGCTCATCTCTCTCCTCCAAATTCTCCTCGGGACCATTTCTCTTCCCTTCCGTTGCTGTCCATCTTTCTTTCGCCGTGACGCAGATATATGATCCTCGAGTTTGGGATTTGCTTCCCATTTATGCACGGGGCGGAGCGGGGCGAGGAAGCGGAATCTGTCTTCGGAGGAGAGATATGATGAGATGAAGGATTGACGTTTGGGGGGCCATCCGAGAGAAAGACGAATTATGTGAGCTCAGAAGGACTCCGAGAAACGTTATACTTGAGTCTATATGCTCAGGTTATCGTTTACGAAGTCGCTTTATAGTTTACAGACCCTTCGGTCTGTTTTTGTGCCCAAAAATGGCGTCAAAACAAAAATGGCGTTCCTAGTTGTAACAGCAAGCCAACAAGAGACCCAACTGGGACAAAATATCTCCATATCCTTTGGCCAGAAGCTCTGGTGTCGCTGTGAGAAGGTTCTCCATTGTGCATTGTAGTCAGCGGTTTGTGGTTTGATCTTCTCTGCACTCGCCTGGCGCGGACTCCACTTTGTGGCCCCATTGCTGCATCTCATGGTGTTCAGCACCTTCCAAGTTGCCCAGTCTTCTGTGTGCCCAGGAGGGAGTTTCTCATCTGGTATCAGCCACTGATTGAGCTTCCAGGTTTTAGCCTGCCACTTTTGGATTCTTGCTTGCTTAGGTGTTTCTTCGAGTATCTCTGTGGATCTTAGGAAGCTGTTTCTTGATTTAAGGAGTTGGCTTGCTGGCTGATATCCAAACAGAGGATGGGCCGGAGATGTCATGCCTTGGTTCTTTCATTGCTGCTGCTATACCCCAGCAGATATCAGGTGATGCAATACCGGCTAAAGTATAATTTTTCCTTTTCCTCCTTCTTCTTCTCCTTCCTTCCTTTTTCCTTCCTTCCTTCCTTCCCTCCTTTCCTTCTTTCCTTTCCTTCTCTTCCTTCCTTCCTTCCTTCCTTGCTTCTTCCTTCTTCTTCTTCCTTCCTTCCTTCCTTCCTTCCTTCCTCCTTCCTTCGTTCCTTCCTTCCTTCCCTTCCTTCCTCCTTCCTTCCTTCCTTCCTTCCTTCCTTCCTCTTTTTCCTTCCTTCTCTCTTTCCTTCCTTCCTTCCCTCTCTTCCTTCCTCCTCCCTTCCTTCCTTCTCTTTCCTTCCTCCCTTCCTTTCTTCTTCCTTCTCTCTCTACCATCCATCCACCCACCCCCATCCTTCTTTCCTATCTCTTGCTAGCTCATCTATCCATCCATCCACCCCTCCCTCTCCTCCTTCTTTCCTATCTCTTGCTAGCTCTTCATCCCTTCCCTCCCTCTTTCTGCCTTCTCCCTTCCTTCCTTCCTTCCTTCCTTCCTTCCTTCCTTCCTTCCATCCTTCATCATTCTTTCCTATCTCTTGCTAGCTTCTCTTCCTCCTTCTTCTTCCTTCCTTCCTTCCTTCCTTCCTTCCTTCCTTCCTTCCTTCCTCCCTTCCTCCCTCCCTCCCTCCCTTCCTCCCTCCCTCCCTCCCTCCCTCCCTCCCTCCCTCCCTCCCTTCCTTCCTTCCTTCCTTCCTTCCTTCCTTCCATCCTTCATCATTCTTTCCTATTTCTTCCTAGCTCTTCCTGCCTTCCTTCCATCCATCTCTTGGTAGCCCTTCCTCCCATCCTTCCTTCTTTCCTTCTTTCCTTCCTTCCTATCTCCCCCCCCCTTCCCCCCCCCCCCTTGTCTCTTCTTCCATCCACCCATCCATCCTTCTTTTCTATCTCTTGCTAGCTCTTCATCCATCCATCCATCCATCCATCCTTTTTTCTATCTATATCCATCCGTCCATCCATTCATCCATCCATCCATCCTTCTTTTCCTTCCTTGCTAGCTCATCCATCCATCCACCCTCCTTCTTTCCTATCTCTTGTTAGTTCTTCCTTCCATCCTTCCTTCCTTTGAGTCTAAGGGAAGATGACTTCTCCAAGGCCATAGGGTTGGTTTCCTAACTCTTGCCAGCTCTTCTGTCCAACCATCCATCCACAGTTGGACATGGACGCAAACCCTGATGTTTCTAGTCCAACCTTGGAGCCAAGATGTCCTTTCAGAATAAGTTGGCCATTGCTTCTTTCTGAAGCTGGGAGAGTGTCTGAGGTTATTCCTGTTCTTTGCTAGCCTTCCTTCTCTCCCTCTCCTTCCCTCCCATCCTTCGTTCTCATGTCTTACTAGCCCTTCCATTCTTCTTTCCTATCTCTTGCTAGCTCATCTATCCATCCATCCATCCATCCATCCTTCCTTCCTTCCTTCTTTCCTATCTCTTGCTAGCTCATCTATCCATCCATCCATCCTTCCTTCCTTCCTTCCTTCTTTCCTATCTCTTGCTAGCTCTTCCATCCATCCATCCACCCATCCATCCACCCATCCATCCTTCTTTCCTATCTCTTGCTAGCTCTTCCTTCCTTCCATCCTTCCTTCCTTTGAGTCTAAGGGAAGATGACTTCTCCAAGGTCATAGGGTTGGTTTCCTAACCCTTGCCAGCTCTTCTGCCCAACCATCCACCCATCCATGGTTGGACATGGATGCAAACCCTGGTGTTTCTAGTCCAACCTTGGAGCCAGAATGTCCTTTCAGAGGAAGTTGGCCATTGCTTCCCTCTGAAGCTGGGAGAGCGTCTGAGGTTATTCCTGTTCTTTGCTAGCCTTCCTTCTCTCCCTCTCCTTCCCTCCCATCCTTCCTTCCTTCCTTCCTGCTTCCTCCCGCTGCCTAGCTTCCACCCCCCCCCCCATCCATTTTCAACCCCATTACCTTTGTGTGCGATCACCACAGGGAACAAGCGGCTCTTTTGCAGAGGAGAGAGTGCCAAGCCTTGATTTATCTGTGTTTGCTGGATCTGCATTTCTTGGCGCTTAAGGAGGTGCCGGTTCAGTTGAAGCTGTCCGCTGGGGACAACTAAAACCACACGGCCTGAGGAGGGATCCCTTAGGGTGAGGGAGTGCAGAGTACATAAACACACGCAAACGTAAGGGTCAGACATCCCTCGTGGAGAGCACGGGAGGACTTCATCATCAGGATGGGACTCTGGAGCGACTTCGTCACTTAGGATCCTAGAAATGGAGAGATGGAAGTTCTAAGAGATCCATCTTGTCAAGGAGTTCTCCAACTTGGGCAACTCAGTCGCCCACCTAGGACCTTTTAACTGGAAATCATGAGGGGGACATTTGACAGATCGTAATGTTGATGCTAACATTACAACCTCTTCTCTTCTTTTCCATCTCTCTCTAGCTCCTCCGACTTCCATCTCCGTAATCGCTGCCGACACGCCGGCCCCTTTCAGCCGCTACCAGGCCCAGAACTTCACTTTAGTCTGCATTGTCTCCGGTGGGAAGCCTGCCCCAATGGTAAGTTTGATTGGCTTGAATCCTATAAGGATCCCCATAAAGACATGGGATGTTGGCTTGAACCCTACAGGTAGCTCCATCAGCATAAGAGATATTGGCCTGAATCCTATAAGTAGCCCCATAAAGATATGGGATGTTGGCCTGAATCCTATAAGTAGCCCCATAAAGATATGGGATGTTGGTTTGAATTCTATAGGTATCCCCATAAAGACATAGGAGATTGGCTTGAATCATACAGGTAACCTGATAAAGATATGGGATGTTGAGTCCTATTGGTGGCTCCATAAAGATGTGGGACATTGACACCTATAGGTAGCCCATAAAAACATAGGATGTTGCCTTGAATCTTATTGGTAGCTCCATAAAGGTATGGGGTGTTGACTTGAACCCTATAGGTAGCCCCATAAAGATATGGGACGTTGGTTTGAATCCTATTGGTAGCCCCATAAAGACATGGGATATTGGATTGATTCCTATAGGTAACCCAATAAAGATATGACATTGCCCTGAATCCTATAGGTAACCCCATAAAGATATGGGATGTTGAGTCCTATTGGTGGCTCCATAAAGATGTGGGACATTGACACCTATAGGTAGCCCATAAAAACATAGGATGTTGCCTTGAATCTTATTGGTAGCTCCATAAAGGTATGGGGTGTTGACTTGAACCCTATAGGTAGCCCCATAAAGATATGGGATGTTGCCCTGAATCTTACAGGTAGCCCCATAAAGATATGGGATGTTGGTTTGAATCCTATAGGTAGCCCCATAAAGCCATGGGACATTGACTTGAATCCTATAGGTAGCCCCATAAAGACAAGGGACTTTAACCTGAATCCTATAGGTAGCCCCATAAAGACAAGGGACATTGACCTGAATCCTATAGGTAGCCCCATAAAGGCAAGGGACATTGACTTGAATCCTATAGGTAGCCCCATAAAGACAAGGGACATTGACCTGAATCCTATAGGTAGCCCCATAAAGACAAGGGACATTGACTTGAATCCTATAGGTAGCCCCATAAAGACGTGAGATGTTGGCTTGAATCCTATAGGGAACCCCATAAATATATGGGACATTGAATTGGATCTATAGGTAGCGTCTTAATATATGGAACATTGACTTGAATCCTATAGGTAGCCCCATAAAGACAAGGGACATTGACCTGAATCCTATAGGTAGCCCCATAAAGGTATAGGGTGTTGGTTTGAATCCTATAGGTAGCCCCATAAAAAGATGGGAGGTTGGCTTGAATCCTATTAGTCACTCCATAAAGATATAGGACATTGGCATGAACCCTATAGGTAGCCCCATAAAGATATGGGACATTGACTTGAATCTATAGGTCTCCCCATAAAGATATGGGACATTGACTTGAATCTATGGGTAGCCCCACAAAGATATGGGACATTGGATTGAATCTATGGGTAGCCCCATAAAGATATGGGACATTGACTTGAATCTATGGGTAGCCTCTAAAGATATGGGACATTGACTTGAATCCTGTAGGTAGCCCATAAAGACGTGAGATGTTGGCTTCAATCCTATAGCCCCATAAAGACAGGGGACATTGATCTATAGGTAGCCCCATAAATATATGGGATAAACCTTGGGTTGTCCTTCATTCCACCCCAACGTGTTGCAAATATTTCCACATAATGCATGATTCCCCATCTACAAGGACGAGATGTATTCTTTGCCTCTCTCCCAATGCTTTGCAATGGATGTTGGGAACAACGAATCCCTCTCCTCGGTCCGGACGTTGGACTGGTTTCTTCTTGAGTTGCTTCTCCCTCTAGGCCCGTTTTTCTCTCTCTAAACCCCGTTTTCCCCGGTGGATCCGTTTTAGACAAATACCCAGGAGAGATGTGCTCGGAGGCCGAAGTTCTAAGCACCCGGCAAATTATTTCTGCTTATTCATTCAGATGTTTGAAGCATTAAAAAAAATGGAAATTATTCCTCCCCTTCCCCAAAGACTTATCTGCAAACATTCCCGGGGCCGTTTCGCTCCGCCGTGACATCAAGGGCTTGAAAGGCGCTTTTGGAAACAGAATACAATCTTCGCTTCAGAGAGAGACGTTCAAAAATAGGATTTTTTAAAAACAGGCATCACATCCGCAAATCGTCCTCCTGGCTTTGCAGATAGAGGCACGTAGAGTATTTTTTGGCATGCGCAGGGGCAGCTCTATTGCAGTGTGCAAATGGTGCAGATTCTCACCAATTGAGAACCACCGTACGCATATTTAGATACGCTTGATGTTGTCCCTGTCACAGGGGCGGAAGAGTAAAATATGCACAACACCCCTGCTTGGTAGGCACATGAATGTAATCCTCTCACAGCCTCCCATAGCTGCTCGAAGGGACAGACTGTCTCCAAGGCAAGAGGTTAGATCCAATCCCTGAAACACTACAGAGTCTTGGTCACCGTTACAGAGATTTTATAACACAGCCGCTGACCTTGTATAGTAGCTCACCAGCTTAAACAAGCACACTTCAGCTTGAACAAGCACACTTGACAGACTGTCTTCAAGGCAAGCGGTTAGATCCAATCCCAGAAAAACTGCAGAGTCTTGGTCACAGTTTGCAGAGATTTTATAGCCCAGCTTCTGAGCTTGTATAGCAGCTCACCAGCTTGAACACACACACTTGAGCATGAACAAGCACACTTGACAGACTGTCTCCAAGGCAAGCAGTTAGATCCAATCCCTGAAACACTGCAGAGTCTTGGTCACAGTTTGCAGAGACTTTATAGCCCAGCTTCTGAGCTTGTATAGCAGCTCACCAGCTTGAACACGTACACTTCAGCTTGAACAAGCACACTTGACAGACTGTCTTCAAGGCAAGCGGTTAGATCCAATCCCAGAAAAACTGCAGAGTCTTGGTCACAGTTTGCAGAGATTTTATAGCCCAGCTTCTGAGCTTGTATAGCAGCTCACCAGCTTGAACACACACACTTGAGCATGAACAAGCACACTTGACAGACTGTCTCCAAGGCAAGCGGTTAGATTCAATCCCTGAAACACTGCAGAGTCTTGGTCACAGTTACAGAGACTTTATAGCCCTGCCTCAGACCTTGACAGACTGTCTTCAAGGCAAGCAGTTAGCTCCAATCCCTGAAACACTGCAGAGTCTTGGTCACAGTTTGCAGAGATTTTATAGCCCAGCTTCTGAGCTTGTATAGCAGCTCACCAGCTTGAACACGTACACTTCAGCTTGAACAAGAACACTTGACAGACTGTCTCCAAGGCAAGCGGTTAGATCCAATCCCTGAAAAACTGCAGAGTCTTGGTCACAGTTTGCAGAGATTTTATAGCCCAGCTTCTGAGCTTGTATAGCAGCTCACCAGCTTGAACACACACACTTGAGCATGAACAAGCACACTTGACAGACTGTCTCCAAGGCAAGCGGTTAGATTCAATCCCTGAAACACTGCAGAGTCTTGGTCACAGTTACAGAGACTTTATAGCCCTGCCTCAGACCTTGACAGACTGTCTTCAAGGCAAGCAGTTAGCTCCAATCCCTGAAACACTGCAGAGTCTTGGTCACAGTTTGCAGAGATTTTATAGCCCAGCTTCTGAGCTTGTATAGCAGCTCACCAGCTTGAACACGTACACTTCAGCTTGAACAAGAACACTTGACAGACTGTCTCCAAGGCAAGCGGTTAGATTCAATCCCTGAAACACTGCAGAGTCTTGGTCACAGTTACAGAGACTTTATAGCCCTGCCTCAGACCTTGACAGACTGTCTTCAAGGCAAGCAGTTAGCTCCAATCCCTGAAACACTGCAGAGTCTTGGTCACAGTTTGCAGAGATTTTATAGCCCAGCTTCTGAGCTTGTATAGCAGCTCACCAGCTTGAACACGTACACTTCAGCTTGAACAAGAACACTTGACAGACTGTCTCCAAGGCAAGCGGTTAGATCCAATCCCTGAAAAACTGCAGAGTCTTGGTCACAGTTTGCAGAGATTTTATAGCCCAGCTTCTGAGCTTGTATAGCAGCTCACCAGCTTGAACACACACACTTGAGCATCAACAAGCACACTTGACAGACTGTCTCCAAGGCAAGCGGTTAGATCCAATCCCTGAAACACTGCAGAGTGTTGGTCACAGTTCACAGAGATGTTATAGCCCAGCCTCGGACCTTGACACACTGTCTTCAAGGCAAGCGGTTAGCTCCAATCACTGAAACACTGCAGAGTCTTGGTCACAGTTGCAGAGATTTTACAGCCCAGCCTCAGACCTTGACAGACTTTCTTCAAGGCAAGTGGTTAGATCCAATCCCCAAAACACTGCAGAGTCTTGGTCACAGTTACAGAGATTTTATAGCCCTGCCTCGGACCTTGTATATTAGCTCACCAGCTTGAACATGCACACTTGAGCTTGAACAAGCACACTTGACAGACTGTCTCCAAGGCAAGCAGTTAGATCCAATCCCTGAAACACTAAAGAGTCTTGGTCACAGTTTGCAGAGACTTTTATAGCCCAGCCTCGGACCTTGACAGACTGTCTTCAAGGCAAGCGGTTAGATCCAATTCCTGAAGCACTACAGAGTCTTGGTCACCGTTACAGAGATTATATAGCCCAGCCTCAGACTTTGACAGTCCCTGAAACACTACAGAGTCTTGGTCACAGTTACAGAGATTTTATAGCCCAGCCTCGGACCTTGACAGACTGTCTTCAAGGCAAGCGGTTAGATCCAATTCCTGAAGCACTACAGAGTCTTGGTCACCGTTACAGAGATTATATAGCCCAGCCTCAGACTTTGACAGTCCCTGAAACACTACAGAGTCTTGGTCACAGTTACAGAGATTTTATAGCCCAGCCTCGGACCTTGACAGACTGCGGTTAGATCCAATCCCTAAAGCACTGCAGAGTCTTGGTCACAGTTACAGAGACTTTATAGCCCAGCCTTGGACCTTGACACACTGTCTTCAAGGCAAGCAGTTAGATCCAATCCCTGAAGCACTACAGAGTCTTGGTCACCGTTACAGAGATTATATAGCCCAGCCTCAGACTTTGACAGATTGTCTTCAAAGCAAGCAGTTAGATCCAATCCCTGAAATGCACACTTGAGCTTGAACAAGCACACTTGACAGACTGTCTCCAAGGCAAGCAGTTAGATCCAATCCCTGAAGCACTGCAGAGTCTTGGTCACAGTTACAGAGATTATATAACACAGCCTCGGACCTTGTATAGTAGCTCACCAGCTTGAACAAGCACACTTGAGCTTGAGCAAGCACACTTGACAGACTGTCTCCAAGGCAAACGGTTAGATCCAATCCCTGAAACACTACAGAGTCTTGGTCACAGTTACAGAGATTTTATAACACAGCCTCGGACCTTGTATAGTAGCTCACCAGCTTAAACAAGCACACTTCAGCTTGAACAAGCACACTTGACAGACTGTCTCCAAGGCAAGCAGTTAGATCCAATCCCTGAAGCACTACAGAGTCTTGGTCACCATTACAGAGATTTTATAGCCCAGCCTCAGACTTTGACAGACTGTCTTCAAGGCAAGCGGTTAGATCCAATCCCTGAAACACTGCAGAGTCTTGGTCACAGTTACAGAGACTTTATAGCCCTGCTTCGGACCAGTGTATCTGTCCGAACGTATCTCCCTCTACGTCCCACCCCGGAATTTGAGATCATCTGGAGAGGCCCTGCTCTCAACCCCACCGCTATCACAAGTGAGGCTGGTGTGGACGAGGAGCAGGGCCTTCTCAGTGGTGGCCCCTCACCTGTGGAACTCACTCCCGGGGGAAATTAGGGCATCAACATCCCTCCTCTCCTTCAGGAGGAAGGTAAAGACGTGGTTGTGGGACCAGGCAGAGTCTTGGTCACAGTTACAGAGATTTTATAACACTGCCACTGACCTTGTATAGTAGTTCACCAGCTTCAACAAGCACACTTGAGCTCTGCCTTTCATTCAAATTCCTTTGGAGGCTTATTCATCAGTCATTGCTACATATGACTATTTACAGGACTTCTATCAGTATATGCATGATATGTATAGATGACTGATCCTTTATGATTCAGTGTGCAATGGGCATCAGTGTGCTCACCAATGAAGATCTGAACATTGGTCAGGAAGTGCTAGAGCAAGATGGAAACCCTCAATGAAGTCCAGTCATGTCAGAACTGCCGAATGCACATTTAGACATAGTTTCATCTATGTTGACGATGGTGCCATCACCGCTCAAGCAGAGAGCTTAGAAATAACACAGAATATTTTTCAAATTTTGTTACATGATATAATTCTTGCCTGGTTTAGAAGTCCCAGAATTGGCCTTTCTCTGAGAATTGTTACTCTTCCACCTTGAGCCGGAAAGAGAGGGATGTTTCACTCTTTGTTCTATATCTGAAGTCTCTTTTTTTGCTATCTGTTGACTGTTCTTTCCCTCTCCGCAGGTGTATTTCAAGCGGGACGGGGAATTGATAGAGGTGGTCCCGCTCATGGAGCCCCCCCTCAACGCCGCCGGCTTGCAAGAGGCCCGCTCCTCCCGCAACCTCTTCCGCGAGGCGGACGATACCAAGATGCACCGCTCGCTCTCCCTGCTGAACGGGGAAGAGCGGGGCGGCAGGCCCTCCACCGAGCAGCCCTCCAAGGGCCTCACCCCGGAGCAGGGACTCTTGTTCAGCCCAGCCACCGAGGTCATGCCAGAGACTGTGGTGAGCCGGGAGTTTCCCCGCTGGATCCAGAACATGGAGCCCGTCTACTACTTCCACCACACCCACATCCCCATCAGCGACGGCACCGTGGAAGTGCGGGCCATCCTCATGTGGACGCTCAACCCCCAGATAGACAATGAGGCCCTCTTCAGTTGCGAGGTCAAGCACCCAGCTCTCTCCATGTCCATGCAGTCGGAAGTCACGCTCGGTAAGGTAGCAGGAGGCGGGGAGTGGGGCTGCCAGGGGTGATGGGAGGAAAGGGGGGGGAGCCATAGAGTGGGTGGACCAATTAGGGCCAACCAAACAATCCACTCCTTAAATACTGTTCTGACTTAGGACCTCATCACATCAACTTCTGTGGTGAAACTGTGGGGCAGTGGGACAATCCCGTTGGCTCATACCCAACATTTCTGGAGCTTGGCTCGGCATCTCGTGGTGCCAGAGCGCAGTCTGTTCAGCACCTTCCAAGTCTTCTCTGTGCCCAGGGAGGAGTCTCTCATCTGGTATCAGCCATTGGTTGAGGTGCTGGGTTTGAGCCTGCCACTTTTGGACTCTCGCTTGCTGAGGTGTTCCAGCGAGTGTCTCTGTAGATCTAAGAAAACTATTTCTTGATTTAAGTCATTGACGTGCTGGCTGATACCCAAACAGGGGATGAGCTGGAGATGTCTCTGCCTTGGTCCTTTCACTATTGGCTGCTACTTCCCAGCGGATGTCAGGTGGTGCAATACCGGCTAAGCAGTGTAATTTCTCCAGTGGTGTAGGGCGCAGACACCCCGTGATAATGCGGCATGTCTCATTAAGAGCCACATCCACTGTTTTAGTGTGGTGAGATGTGTTCCACACTGGGCATGCGTACTCAGCAGCAGAGTAGCATAGTGCAAGGGCAGATGTCTTCTCTGTATCTGGTTTTGATCCCCAGGTTGTGCCAGTCAGCTTTCGTATGATATTGTTTCTAGCACCCACTTTTTGCTTGATGTTCAGGCAGTGCTTCTTGTAGGTCAGAGCACGGTCCAGAGTGACTCCCAGGTATTTGGGTGTGCTGCAATGCTCCAGTGGGATTCCTTCCCAGGTAATCCTCAGAGCTCGGGATGCTTGTCTGTTCTTAAGGTGAAAAGCACATGTCTGTGTTTTAGATGGATTAGGGATCAGCTGGTTTTCCCTGTAATAGGCAGTAAGAGCACCTAGAGCTTCGGAGAGCTTCTGTTCAACCATCTCAAAGCTCCCTGCTTGAGAGGTAATGGCACGATCATCAGCATAGATTAAACTCTCTGTCCCTTCTGGCAGTGGCTGGTCATTTGTGTAGATGTTGAACATGGATGGAGCAGTCTGGTGCCAGAGTGCAGGGGCTACAAAGTTGAATCCACGACATGCAAGTGTGGAGAAGAGCAAACCACTGACCACCTGCTGCAATGCAACCTGAGCCCTGCCACATGCACAATGGAGGACCTTCTTGGCAACACCAGAGGCACTCCAAGTGGCCAGATACTGGTCAAAGGACATTTAATATATGCCAATTTCAAACTTTGTGTTTTTTTTGTTTGTTTTGTGTTTTTACAAGTGGCCAGATACTGGTCAAAGGACATTTAATCAGCTACCAAGTTTGCAAAATTTGTGTTTTGTTTTGTTTTTTATCAGTGTGTTTGTTTTGCTCTGTTAGAAATGTAATATAATGTTCTGGTTGCGGATGACACGATAAATAAATACCAAACATTGCCCGCAACGATGTGACTTCCCCACGTGTGATGGCTCCACTGCTTCCTATAGAACTCAGGAAGCCTCCCATGTTGTGGGCAGAACATCATAGGATGCTTGCGCCATAGTTGATCTATGGAAGTGATTGTGCATCATGTGATGGTCAGCATAGGCTCCATACATCAACTGTGCTGCAAGTGTCCTACGATGCTTGTGACGATCCTGTGATGAAGTGGTTACTGTGGTTGACAGGAAGATCATGTTAAGCATCTTGGAGAGCTTTCTCTAAGAGATGTGCCATGGTTGCAAATCCATTCTCACCTTGGAGAGGTCTTCTTCAAAAGGACCTACCTGTGTTGGAAACCCATTCTGAAACAGGCCGCAGGACCTCAGAAAGGTTCCCTTCCAAAAGAACGATCCATGTATGGAAACCTTGGAGATATCAGCCCTTGGAGAGTTCTCCTTCAAAAGCAACTCTCCATGGGTGGACCCTTGGAGACCTTGCAGCGTTCACCTTCAAAAGGAACCATATGTTGTTGGAAATCTTGGATTGCTCATTGAGAGTTCAGTCCTTGGAGAGTTCTCCTTCAAAAGCAACTGTCCATGTGTTGGAAATCTTGGATTGCTCATTGAGAGTTTAGTACTTGGAGAGTTCTCCTTCAAAAGCAACCATCCATGAGTGGACCCTTGGAGACCTTACAGCGTTCTCCTTCAAAAGGAACCATATGTGGTTGGAAACCTTGGATACTCATTGAGAGTTCAGTCCTTGGAGAGTTCTCCTTCAAAAGCAACTGTCCATGTGTGGACCCTTGGAGACCTTGCAGCGTTCTCCTTCAAAAGGAACTATCTTTGGTTGGAAATCTTGGACTGCTCATTGAGAATTCAGTCCTTGGAGAGTTCTCCTTCAAAAGCAACAGTCCATGAGTGGACCCTTGGAGACTTTGTAGTGTTCTCCTTCAAAAGGAACCATCTGTGGTTGGACTGCTCATTGAGAGTTCAGTCCTTGGAGATTTCTCCTTCAAGGATGGACCTTTGGACACCTTGGAGTGTTCTCCCTCAAAAGGAACCATCTGTGGTTGAAATCCTTGGACTGCGCATTGAGAGTTCAGTCTTTGGGATAGTTCTCCTTCAAGGATGGACCTTTGGAGACCTTGTAGCGTTCTCCTTGAAAAAGAACCGTCTGTGGTTGGAAGCCTTGGACTGCTCATTGAGAGTTCCGTCCTTGGAGAGTTCTCCTTCAAGGATGGACCTTCGGAGACCTTGTAGCATTCTCCTTCAAAAGGAACCGTCTGTGGTTGGAAGCCTTGGACTGCTCATTGAGAGTTCCGTCCTTGGAGAGTTCTCCTTCAAGGATGGACCTTCGGAGACCTTGTAGCATTCTCCTTCAAAAGGAACCGTCTGTGGTTGGAAGCCTTGGACTGCTCATTGAGAGTTCTGTCCTTGGAGAGTTCTCCTTCAAGGATGGACCTTGTAGCATTCCCCTTGAAAAAGAACCATCTGTGGTTGGAAACCTTGGACTGCTCAATGAGAGTTCCATCCTTGGAGAGTTCTCCTTCAAGGGTGGACCTTTGGAGATCTTGTAGTGTTCTCCTTCAAAAGGAACCGTCTTGGACTGCTCATTGAGAGTTCAGCCCTTGGAGAGTTCTTCAAAAGCAACTCTCCATGAGTGGACTCTTGGAGACCTCATTGAGAGCTCTACACCTCTCCGAGTTCTCCTTCAAAAGGAGCCATCTTGGATTGCTCGTTGAGAGTTCAGACTTTTCCTTTAGAAGGAAATATTTATGGTCCGAAACCCATTCTGAAATTAGAAAGGGAGCTACCTGAGGTTCTGAAGCCGTTTTGAAGATAGCGCCTAGCGCTTTGACTCGCTTCTTTAAAGTTTGGACTAGGCGCCAGGAGGGATTTGCCTCCCCACCATTGACTGCGCGATTCAAGGGCCGTTCCTTCTTCTGGAGGCATTTCACAACTTCTGAGGCGGCTTTGTGTGGGAGCTGCTCAGTCTTCGCCATTGATCTGTCCGCCTTCAAGACTCATCCTCAGGCCTTGGAAAGGAAAGAAAGACGGACGGACGGGTGCCTTAATCACTGTAAAAGAGGCATTAAACCCCCTTTCCTTGATCCAGAGCCGCCATTGGCCCCTTCCCTTCCCTTGTAGGGTTGGAGGAGGCTTAGCTGATGTTCCATAAAGCGCTAATCCCGGGAAGGATGTCCTGATCAAACACTTCGTTGAGTCCTGTCTTAGCAGAGCGCTTCTCTCTCCCTGTCAAACGGGGCATTTACATACGAAAGACAAAATACCTTTTATGTTAATCCCCAGCAGAAAAGCCGTCTTCGCTTGAAGGAGACATAAGTCTTCTGCGTCCGGGATAATGGGATGTGGTCAAAGAGACCCTCGGCTTGGTTACAGAGAAGCGACGTACCAGCCTGAAATGCCATAAAGGAAATACAGTACGACTGAGCCAGTCTGCGGTGTCCTTCTTCACTGAAGGAGTGTTGTGATGTTAATATGCATGACACCCCTGCTAGGTAGGCACATGAATTTAACCCTCTCCCCAGC